GACCAAAATCGCTATTTTTTTTATACGTTCTGATACTTAAAATTGATGGTACTGGTCGTAGTTTTAATTTTTGATCATTTTTTAAAAAATCAAAAAAATGGAGTTTTTGAGGGTTGCAGAGACAAAACTGATACTTTTCTTAGAATCTTAGAATCTGTGATATTGATGTTCCCTTTAACTTAGGATTGTTTCGAAAAAAAAATTTGAAAAAATTTGAAAATTTTGGACTTTTTAGGGATGTGGGTCGAATTCGAAATTGTTTTGAATCAACAATGACTTGATGATTCCTTGACTATGAACTATGACTTGAATTAATAGTTGAAAATTAATTTATTGATAGAAAATAATTTTTTTTGTTTTTTTTTGGCCAGACTTAATTCACAACAAAATCGCGGAACGAATTTGACAAAATAACAATCAACGCAATTGTTTTTTGAATCTCAAAGTTCTTTTATTTTGAAAAAGTAACCTTTTGTAACATTACATTTTGCAACATGAACCAAAAATTAAAAAAAAATCAAAATGTGTATTTTTTGATGAAAATTGAAAAGATGTTAATGATCTTGTTGGTCTGTTATTTTTATGTTGACAGGTTCTTTGGGAAATGGGAATGTGTGTGGTCATTCGAAAAGCAGTATAATAAAGATCACCACCGATATGCCGAGAATTGAATATGACAAATTCAACGCTTTTGAAAGATCAGTTGCTAAATATGAACTAGCTTTGGTTGATATCCACGTTTCAGATCATCTGAAAGGGTAATTTGAGGATTTGCCTCCATTTTGCAAAAACACATTTGTTAATCGCAGTGATCTTGACGGTCTTATGAAGGAACTAGCTTTGGCTAACGGAATAATGTCTACCGGTTGGCGCTGTCATCTAGCCAGTTATTTTGGTGAAAACTTTCTACTCAAAACTGACTACATTAAGTGGTGTCTAAATCACGGTCTTGTTGTCAGTAAGCGTCATTTGTTTATACGATACAATCACGAGAAATCTTTCAAGGATTTCATTTACTTTGTTAGCTTTAACTGCAGACTTGGAGGTTCTGACGTTGATAAGACTGTTGTCGCCCAGACATCAAAATTTATTGGTAACAGCGCCGATGGGATACAACTAATCAATAAAGCAAAATTCTATAAAACTGTTTATCTTAACAAATTAGCTGCAACAAAAAAGACTAGATCTGCTCGATTTAAGTCCTATGATGTATTTGACAGAAAAATTTACGATAAAGAGATATCGATGAAAACAACATGTCGTGAGAGACCAATTATAGTAGGTTTTGTAACAGTACACAATGCCAAACATTGAATGCTAGAGTTCAAATACGATTTTCTCGAAAGAGTTTTACTTCCCTTAACGAACCGAGCAATTGAAATGGATACTGATTTAATGTACTTGGCGTTGACTGCATCAACTATAAAGGAGTTTATGACAGGTGAAGGTTGCAATATTTATACAAACTGGGTGCAGAAAAACTGTATTGACAGAGATTATATTCCTGATGATGTGTTCAATTTCTTCCCACGTGTTTAATGTGAGAAACTTAAGAAGTTTGATACTCGAACGACTGGTTTCTTCATTGAATTGAGTCAAACATAAATGTTTCGTTTGAACAGTAAAACATACCAAGCATACAATGAATACAATGATACGCTCAATATTGCGATGAAAGGTTCAAACAGAAACACTTGCGAACCTCTACAAAAAAAACAAGAGTGTACAACAAATGAAAAAACCAAACGAGGGTTTTAATCGTGGATTTCGTCCAAATGACAATCAGATCAAAATTTATCAACAAATTAAAAATCCGTTTAGGTGTTTCTGTTGCAAGCGGCTCGTGCTAATTGATCGAATTTCCACGAAAGCGTTAAGTTTGTGAAAATTTTTCAGCTTCTAAATGTACATGGTTTTTATATTTAAATAGGTCTGGTGAGATGCTTATGAAATTGAGTCTTTTTTTAAAATAAAATTTTGTAGTACCTAAATAATAATTGCTCTATATTCTAAACCGTTAAAGTTTTAATCAATTAGTGTACATTATTTGCTAAAATTTTTTTCCTTTATTATGTTTTTTCTGCTGATCTGTTATTATGAAGTTTGAATACATTGAACAGTTATTAATAAATTAATAGTGTTGAACTGGCAAAGTTTCTACAATAATGTCCACTCTTAAAATTGGATTTCGAAAATTGAATTCAAATATTTGTTAATAATTTCAAAACAATTTTTTAGCCGTAGACATTCTAAGTTTTTTCACAGGAGTTGTTTTTCCTTCTTTGCGACAATCTTGATTTTGGTTCAATCGACCAGAGAAGGTTTAGGAGTGAAAAGTTGAATTGGTTTTTTAGGTGTAATTTTAGGCTCGTGCTATTCTCCACACTAAAACACAATGAAATTGGAAAAAAAGGCAACATTTGCACTTAAACTGATTTAAAATTGCACTTTGTTTGAATTGAACTTCACTCATTTGAGTTTTTTTGACCAATTGAATTACCAGAAGAAGTCGATTCGAAATTTTTTCGTTGATCAAAACAAAAATTCAAAATCAGACATGCACAACAACTATATGAAAAAATTTCAAATTGTTTAATTTATAATCAATTTTCAAGTATTTGGTGAATTTTTTAGGCAAAGAAAACGATTAGCTCGGATATATTCAAGTTTCTTGTTATGCGCAATATCACAACATACCTAACAGTGTAGTTTGTCCTAACAGATTTCAAGCCGATCCTAAAAAAGTATATATATGTTGGCTAAGTGTTATCTTTGCCCAATTTGAACCAAACGTGGGTATTTTCAGCTGGAAATAAATGGTAGTAAATACCGAGTGCAACGGGTCAAACAATTTTCAAAAATCCTTATGATCTTTTATTATTAAGATTAAGCAAATACATTCTCCGAGTTCATTCAAAAATCAAATTTGGCCAAATTTTTTGCACCAATAACTTTGCGATAGTTTTTGGACAGTTTTGGTTAGTTTTTGAAATTAGTATATATTGGAGCCAAAGTCGCCTTTAAAGAAGTTAATGACAGGTTAATCGGCCAAGAATTGATGTCGTGAAATGGTGTGAGACTTTTTGGTCCTGAGCGCATTAAATACTTGAGGGAAGGCAATACGTTTTTTTGGCATATTAAGAAACAAAAATAGGGCTCATTCAGCCTCTCCGGCAAACATAACTCGAATTTTTTCTTTTTTCAATGAGAGTCCAAGTTTTTTGTAGTACCTGTGTTTTATCAATCTTAAGCGCTACTATTTTATCCCAACCTTAAGAAATATTGCTGAAAATTGCTTAAAAATTGCTAAAACCTGGTCATCCAGCTTCTTTTGCTCAGCTTAGTTTTGGTTTAACTCAGATAGTTTTCCTAACAACTGGTCCTATCGAGCTCCTAACCACTAAAAACTGGGCTTCAATACTTTTTTAGCTGTTGAGCTCCATCAACCCCATATTGATATACGGCTGATGATTTATTTTAGCTAAACCTCACATGGGGCTGTGGTTTCCAACATGCACTGAAATTCATTGTGGACTTAAAGAATATGTCATTAAGCAGAGAAGATACTGTGAATATCATGAAAGAAACCCAGAAACTGGAATGTGCCAAACTCAAAAAACAAATTCTTTGGATTTGGTTCAAAAATTGTCCTGTCCACTGGACACAGATGGGCTCATTTTTCAAAGAGATATTGTTTGTCATCGTTTGTGGTCATCAGGTAAGACCAATGATAGAACTAAAAGTTTTTCCTGAGAGCTCATATTTTTGAATAACTTTCAAAAAATTTTGTCGGCTTTTTTTTCGATCGAAACTGTTTTCAGGGCTCACACAAAACGCTATAAAAACGCTATTTTACTAAAATCTGTTTCCATTTTGACAATGGTTTCATACGTTTTTCAAAAAAGGAAAGTGTTTATCGCAAAAATGCTTATCACAAAAGTGCAATTTTCATAAAAGTGCCTATTAGATTTCTTAAGCCGCGTCGGGTCTTGGTCACCATTTTGGTCACTTTTTTTAGGTAGGGTGCTAATTTTTCTAAGTTTTAAGAAAACTGAGCTAAATAAGTTGTCTAGTTTGAACTGAATTCCAATTTTTGGCCATATTTGACGCACATGTTTTAATTTTCAGAATTGGTTAATTTATGAAAAGGAAGAACTATAAGATCACATTTTTCTCTAACACATGATCACTAGTAAGGAAGTTATTTTTCTGAAAATTTGGTTCATAAATATTTTGAGAACAGTTTTTAATTTAAGCCTTTTTCAAATTAGAGGAAATCAGTGAGTCCAATTGTAGAATGGTTAGATGGTGTTCAAACTGGGTTTCAAATTTAAAATTGATGTAGATGATACTGATACCAAAAGAGCAAACTCATTCCCTTTTGCTAGTCCCCACAGTTTCATATGAAACGGGATGAATTTTCCTAGTTTCCTAAAATTGGTCTACAACTTTGCTTCATTTTCACATAAATGAGAAAAAATTGAGACTTGAGTTTGGCAACCTGCAAGTATAATTCAACAAGTGTATTAAGCAAAAAAACGGCATCTACTTTTCTTTAACTTAAATTGATCATACTATAATTTTAGTACTAGTGTATTCCAAATTGAGAATCCATCTAAATTTATCAATAAATAACCGATTCTATTTTTTTCTCTACAAAATATAAACATTTACAGAAATATGTAATTAATCCAATTCGATTATTCTTACCTCCGTTTTTTATTACACGATACCAATTGATTATTTTTGTTTTTAATCTCATTCGCAAATGATTCTTGAAGAAAATTAGTATCGAAACTGGAACTTTATTTTATCAGTTAATCATTTACTAAAACTTCTTTTTTTCTCTACAAACGATAAACGAAAACAGAAAGTTGTAATTAATCAAACTCGATTTTCATTACTTCTGTTTTTATCACGCAATAAAAAATAAATGTTTTTAATTATTTGAATCTCATTCTCATCTTGTTCACGAAGTTGCGAAGTTGAGAGTTAATCTTACTTATTAAATCATTATCAATTATAATCTATTATTCTGTACAAATCATAAACAAAAACCGAAAGAGTAGTTAATCAAGTTCATTTTTGTTTTTACTACTGATTTTATCACAAGATAATAAAAATTTTATTTTTACTATTTGAATCTCATTCTCATCTTATTGGTATAAAGTATAATCATTTTCAATTGTTCATCTTTTATAAGTTTCTAAATTGCCAATTTTGCGTCATCGACCTTGCATATAAAACACCAGTTTATGAGTTCCATATACGTTGGGCTATGTAAAAATTTAGTAAAGTAATGGTTTTTCCAATCAATTCAGTTTTTAATTTGTAAGAAAAATTCGGTTGAGAACTTATCGTGATGCCTCTCTTAGCACATTGAGCGAATTTAACGATTAGTTGGATGAAGTTACAATTTTCTTACCGTGAGAATGTTTGAACCGTAATAATTTTTTTAAAACTATTTTCCCTTGGAAATCAAGTGTTCAACTACATCAGAAGGCAGCAAGACATCTTAGGTTAAAAGTGAGTTTTTTAAAATCACGGTTTTATTTGATTATAAATCTTAATGCTTAACTTTGGTAAATATAATCATTTATAAACGAAAAAAAAAATCTTCGTAAAAATCATATTTTTCAAGCCTAACATTTGATGCGGGATTATACTTTAAGCTTTTTACGAGATATTTCGGGGAATCACCAGAGCAAAAAAAACCGCATAACGGTAAGCAGATTTAAAATGCATCCTAACAATAGTTTGTTTTCCTAAACTTTTTTGTCAGATTAGCGTAAATTAGGGGCCAATAGGATCAAATTCAACATGATTAATTGTGCTAGATTGTACAAATTAGGCTCTTTCAGACCTTTCTCATGGAAAAACTCTAAACAATTTGTTTACTCCAATTTTAAAGTGATTTTTGAAGAAAGGAGAGAATCCAGAACCGAAAAAGAATTCGGTGTTCATTTTAAGCATTTTTTTTCTTGAAAAATTGATTTTTTTCAGACTCAACTCCTAGTGTCTTGCTCGGTCCATGGTATCCCAGAGACTGTAGACACGGAATCCAAAATAGAAAATACTGTGGGATTTCGACAGTCACTCAAAACAGACAATGCGTCTTCCATAGATGGAATGAAACGGGAGAAGGGGAATGCTTCGTAGACCGCAGATCAGATGATGTAGCGCTCGCAAGAAAACTTTCCTGTTTTGCTGATGACGATTATCCCTTTCTTCAAAGAGAAATTCGCTGTGAATCTGACAACATTGGTAAATTGTTTTAAAATTTTTGTAAAAGTAATTTACAGAAACTTTTCTTTTTCTGAAACCAATTTTTTCTCTTATCTACTTCTTCAGTAGATCCATTGAAGCATGCTAAGTAGAATCCGAAAGTCTACTGATTAATTTTAGATCAAAGTCCTGAGCAGAAAGCTGAAGAGCAATTCAAAGCTAAAATGGGCGACTGGTTTCCATCTTGTGGAATGATTGAAAAAACCCATTGTGGAAACTGGAAAGTACAACAAACCCGAGTTTGTGAATACTTCGAAAGAAACGAAACAACAAAAGAATGCGTACCTAAAACAACTACTGATAATGAACTTGCACGCCTATTAAATTGTACTAATGGCTCTAGCTTGAATCTATTTGCGAGAGAACATTTCTGCCGCCTGGACCGATGTGGTAAGTACAATAAATATACTGAGAACTTCTTGTTCCGTTGAAACCATTTTCCTGAAATTTTTCCGTACTGATAAAAATTAAAAAAAAAAAAACAAGAAACTGGTTTTATTATTTGAAAAAATATCAGTTTTTTGGTAAACTCGTCTATGCTTTTTTTTTCAGGTGGAAAAAATGATTGATTTGCCTGACCATGCTGCTTGAATTTGGTTGGCTATTATTAGCCAATCAAATCTACCGCATAAGTTCTATCTAAAGATCTCAAAATTTTGATTTTGGGTCATTTTGTGTATAAGAACTTTATATTTTCCCGCTGAAATGATGTCTCAAAGTGGCCAAAATAACATTATTTGGTGGTGCGCGCAGAAATTTTTCAACGAAAAGTGCGGTATTTGAAAAATTCTGTGGATTTTTTCCTAATTCTATTACTTTGAAACACTCGAGCTGAGCTGAATATCATATGGTCTTTATGTATCCATGGCAACAATTTCTATTAAATACAGAGGCATAAACTTCCAAAATTTGGTCAATAAATCCAAATGAACAAATCAAATTTGAAAAAAAGACTTCCTTCATAACGCTGATAGCGGGTTTTAGGAAACTCAGTCGTTTTTAGTGGCACAACTTAAACGATTTTACCCGATGTGCAAGAGACACGCAATTAACCGCACACAATTTTTTTTTTTCATTGAACAAAAAATAATTGATAAAAATTAATTAGTTTTTCAGCAATCGTTGTTTTTTTTGTTCAAACCCTAGAAGTTTTGAATGTCGTGTCCGCGCACTACGTTCCCAAATTTGTGGCTTCATTGTCCATATTTCACTGCTCAAACTCTCTTCAAATGCTATGCCGAATTCAGTACATTTAGAAATGCAGAACAGTGACCGAAACAGACAAGTGAGGCACACACAGGGCGCCCATTGATCATAATTGATTATAAGGTCGTTTTATAGCAGTAGCCATAAAGTTACAAAAAAAATATTAAAATCGATCATAAGCATTATACTTTAAATTTCATTTGAATCCCCCATAAACGACTATAACCAATAAATATGGATCTTGGTTCAGAAATTTTTGATAAAATTATCAATTTTAGCTAGAAAATCATCTTATTTTCAGTTTAGTGTTAGTTGTTGCGAATTTTGTCTCCTTGCTTATGAATTCTCACATTTAATATTAAAGATCGATTTTTTTAAATAGTCTTACTGCTGTTTCAATTCTCAATTTATGGCAATTTATGGCAATTTAGCAGATTCCAAAGGTTGAACCCCGTCTCTATTACCACTCGAACCCGCACCCTACCCCCTCAGTATGAATTGTTCAAAATGGATTATCTTTGCCAGAAATAATCTATTAAAATGCTAAGAACTATGGATTATATTCAAGTATCAATTTTTTTTTCATTAGACTCCTCTTCAAGTAACTTTATCTTGAGTTTTTTTAAAGTTAGTTTCTTTCATTTGCAGACGTAGAAGCTATTTTCCATGAAACGGAGCCCAATGATTGGCCACATGAAACTGCACATTTCGAAATAGTTGGACAAACAGCGAAAGGAGACACATGTTACATTGGTTATCTCTGCAACCTCGAAGTCAAAAACGAAACATTTCTATTTGCAAACCCCCTAAATTTGAAGAAAAATGGCAGAAGGTGGAATACCTTTTTCATTTAAATTTTTTTTTTGTTTCAACTCGTTAAAGTTTTTATTTATTCTTGTGAGGATCTCCATTTAGTAAGATTTACAAAAGATTTGGGTTTGTAATTAATAGATAGCAATTTCTCCAGATTTGTTCCAATTTTCGAAGATAATAACGGAATATAAACGCTTGAGGTGATTTTTTATTCAGATCAGGAGCAAACAAAAACAAATTTTTCCTATACCCCTGTGAAGTTAAAAATACTAGTATTCAGGGGCGATTTTACTTGGTAAGTGGGCTAGCGACTTCACTTCAGGGATTCGACCACCTCAACAAGCAATTAAATTGTTATTATTATGTGCAATCCCTTTCTGAAGTTGCCTTTGACGCCACTGTATAACTAAATTTAAATAAGAGCGCGCGCTGAAAAAATGCAATTTTTGGTCAAACTTTTGTTGCAGTAAATTTTATCCAAATCTGGACTCTATAGTGCTCTGAGAGCGCTCGGAAAATTAATTTGGTGGACCTGAAAAAAAGTATTTTCTTTTGAACAAAACTTTTGACTTTTTTTTGAAAATCCGGCCCATCTCAAGTAAATTCTAGATCTGCCCCTGCTAGTTTTCATTTATACCTTAGGAGTATTAATATAGGAGAATTGTAAAATATCATCTCTATTGCCTAAGTTGGTCTTGAACAAAAAAATTTTTGAGCATTTATATTACATATGAAGTTTCCAATTATAAAAGCCGGAACAACATCATTTCAAGAACATACTTTTAAGAACAAATCAAAACACTCAGAATTTTCAACTAATTTTATCTCCACTCAAAGCTAAAGAAAAACGTTTTAAATTATTGTTTGACACAAAGGGAATATCTCAGAATTTTTCTCATAAGAATCTTCAATTTCTTACCAAATTCGACACTTCAGATTGTAACAATAAACGGACTTTTTCTTATAAGAATTTGTTGGGTAGGAATGCGCTTTAACTGTTCTTCCAATGTGAACACCTTATAATTGATTGCCACCCCTGTAGAGAAATAACTCAATTGTTAACCATCTAAGAACCTTTATCTAGTAAAAAAAACGTCCCTCTCTTGAAAGGGGGCTTATTGAAAAGATCCGTAGGAATCAGCTGGTCGTTTATTTCCCGCTCTTTAAAATTTAAGGCATCACATGTACCCGCTAACTGTCAAATGTCCTCCTCAAGTGCAGATGTTGAAGAACGAGACATTTGCCAAAATCCACATTCGACCGCATTTGCCAAACATAGAGGAAGCTCCCACTTGGAAGTTTATCAAGGTTAGATGAGTTAATTTTTAAGTTTAGGTGATTCCATTCTGAACAAATGGTAATGCGAAAGTTCTCAACAAAAACAACTCACAGAAACCACTAGCAACAGAAGAGAATTCGCAACAAAAGACAAGTGACAGCAAAAGAAAATTCGCAAAACAATACAACTCTCAGTAAAATTTACAACTCGCAAAAAAGTTCCAAGCTTGCCAATTTCATAAGTTGTAAATCATTTTTCAAAACTTGCGGTCCTTAATTTTAGCGAGTTATTCGTTTTTGTTCCGACTTTCGTACGAAAGTAACGGAATATTTGTGCTCGGGGTGGGTTTTTTTTTCTTCAGACAAATTTCGACTTTTTAACTAGCCTTTTTTGACGGATTTTTTTTATCAGTCAAAAGGTATTGTTGT